CTCAAATCCCGAGTCTGCCACTCCAAGACGTTAATCCAAATGTGGGTTTGCTTCCTCGTCCTTTCACATCACAAAGACGCTAAAACAAGGACTTCCTTACGACTGAAATGCTGAACTGCTTTTTATACTGTTTACAGGGAATACAGAAAGGATAAACAATGCCTGTAACAATGGATATTGTTCAAAGATGGAGGGCTTCTTTTGAAAGATCTCATTTATTTTTCATCACTTAGGTGGTTTGATTAACTTTGGTGAATTTTACTGCATTTGGCTAATGACGGCAGGCTGTTTTTATGGCCCTTGAGCAATTGCTTTCACTTTCTGGTTCTCAGGCACAATTCTCCCTGGGCTCACAAAGCCCTTTTACAACAACAATAAAACCTGAATTAAAACATAAAGAATATTTTATTTCTTTGCCACTTTTTAAAATACATTTTGAAATTTGGACCTAACACAATCTGACAGTTTGGATAGGTGGATTAATACTGAAAATGCCCATCAACCATGTTCTTTATAGCCCTATATAGATATTTTAGATGTAAAGCTGTCTGAAGTGCTCACAGTTGAAATGAATGTGGCAGCAAGAGTGAGAAACCTCTAAGAGGAAGAGAAGAAAGGGCTTTATTTGTTGGGTGGTGGCAGGATTTTTTTCCTGACTGGAAAGCAAGATTTAAAATAAATAAAATAATTGGAATTATTATCATTTCAGTGTTATAGTCTTTGAATTTTATAGCTACTTGTGTAACAGTCAATTGCTTAGATCCCTTCTAATCTGCTTGCATACTCAGTTTACATTTGTTAGGGAACGTGGGATTACTTGGTTTAAGCATTTGTCCTGAACTTTCACAGAACCACTACAGTAAAAATGTAAAGCCCCCATTAAGGAAAACCTGCTTGGGAAGCAAGAGATGGGTACAAAAACTTGTTAATCTGTTGAGAATATAGTTATATAGGGTAGGCAATAATTAAAGGTAACTAAAACGCTGATGCTTGGACCTACAAGGGCAGCTTCTGTGCACCATTTAGGAGTTGTACTTGAGCACAAAATGCCACAAAAGGAAAATACAGCTTGACATTTGTAAACTGGATTGATTTTCATCTAAAAGGAGGAGTGATTTTACCTATCCTTAACTGCAGAGTCAGTATTCCAACATTTTGCAACTGTGCCATCTTATGTCTCCCAGACTATCTTCCGCCATGCAGAGTTACAGTGAGGGTTGCTTATTGTTTCTTTTCTGTATTTTTTTCTTTTGTAAATGGAACAATTTTGTGGCTAGGCAAGGGAAAAAAGTCAACGGCCCTCCGCAAGTGACAGGACTCTACAGAGCACATTTCCGACCCACCAGAATGCCCACTCTAAATTAACATAACTGCCTGACATTGAGGGGCTTTTGTACTTTTAAACACCAATTGCCATTGGAAGAACCCCAGAAATGTTTAAGGCTCCACTCCTACAATGAATTCCCTGTAGGTGGACCTTTGTGTCCATGCACAGCCCCATTGAAGTTGCTGGGAGTCACCATGGGCAGACAGACCTGAATTTCTAATTGCTGTACAGGAATACAGACTGCAAGGGGCCTCCCAGGATCATCAAGTCCTGGCCCCAGGTGCCATGTCAAATAAGCCTTTTTCAATAAACTTCCAGGTTACATTTTAAGGTGGAATTGGTCTATTTGCCCCCACTACTATGAGGTTTTCTGGCCTGGTTTTGGGCTGGGTGGGAGGAAGGGTGATCTTTTTTTTATATAGAATGCTGGAAACCCATTTGATCAAAAAAATACTTTATGTCATTTTCTGTAAAAAGTCAGAAGTGTAATGAACATATACCTATATTTTTTTTGGAAGATACGTGAGAGCTCTTACATGGCTCTCACGTAGCAGTGTATACATGTATTAGTTTCTGAGGTCAGCAAAGGCACAAAGGTGTACAGGAGATGCTGCAACCACAGCACATGCCTACATGACCTCACATGCACACTGCGCGAAACACACATCTTGCCTGGCTTGCTGATTTTGTTATTTAAAAAGTAATAAAACCCCATCCTTTCTATGCTGCGCAAAATGTTATCTGCAAAAAAAAAAAAAAAGTTGCACCAACACGAAGACAGACGTACAAAACAACAGGCAGAATTGATATTTTCTTCAACAGCACTAAATGAGGCTGGGGGTTGGCTCTCATCTCCAAGGAGGACTTTTGGTGCTTGCTGGAAAAGTCTGTGCATCGGGGATGGGGAAGGCTGGCAGGAGGCAGGGCCTCTCAGAGCTGTCCCTGCAGACAGGCGTGCGCCAGTGCCTCTGCCCAGTGCCTCTCCAGCAAGTGCCCTTCTGAGCTTGCCCTGGGAACTGGTCACACTGCCTTGGGGTTTTTTTCTATGCCCTTGTTTAAGATCCAAATAATCAAATTTACTCTAATTTGATCTAAACAATGCTTCTCCTTCTCCTCACTCCCCTTTCCTGGGCAGTGGCAGTGAGACACTGCCCACAGGGGCTCATCCCTCGGCTCCCCACAGCGCCCACCTGGCGGGTCCAGGCTGTCCCCGCACAGCCCTCCACAACTGCACTCGCAGCGTGGGCGTAAGGACTGATCTAAATTGGGATTAATGCGTGACTGGCAATTGACTTTTCTTCATGTCTCATTTTTGCAATGTTACAGCACGCGAGTAACTGTTTTTTTAGAAACAAGTCTGGGTAGTTTGATGCTCTTTCTTCTCTAGTAAGCCTCCTGCATAAATGCTCTGCATTTAGAAGGTAGGTTTCTCAACAGTATGCTCACAAGCTGGGACAAGCTCCGGTGGGTCTTGCTGCACCCTCAGGAATTCCAAATAATATTAGTTTACTCCAAAAAAGGCTTTACAGTATTTATGGGACCGTCCTGGGTAACTGTGTTTCTATTCAGGCCTCCACTCTCTCTGCAATGCAAGTGGATGTGTTGCATTCCCCAGAGCCTGCACCTGCCCGAAAAACGAGGGCCCCAACACGTCCCCAAGCCACCGGCCCACACACTGTGTGTGAGCACAACCGGCTCTGAGCCGCGCCACCACAGCGGAGCGGGACCCGCGGCTGCTTCCCCTGCCAAAGCAGCATCTTCTCCTCATTTTTGGTCTGTCAGTCATGTTGCAAATATATTCATGTCACTCAGCTGGTTTCATGTCGCAGACACCATCAGTGTGACGGGCAACCACATGTTATCTGTTAAGAGCGTACTTGGTTTGAGGGAGGTTTTTTTCAGAGGGAAACACATAAAAGTTACTTAGTTGCTGAACTCTCCTTCGCTGTCTATAAAGCCACGCAGATACACAGAGTCTCTACATTTTGCAGATAGTTTTGCATTATAAAAACCTATGGAAAAAGGATTATTAGGTGGTATACTGGCAAAACAGTAAATCAAAACACCCTGAAATGCCATTTCATTCACATACAGTACAGTAACGCTGAGCATTACATGGCCACATCCTGTTTTCCCGATAACCTCGAGGCACGCACATAACATCCTGGTGTGCAGCAATCTGGATATGGCAGAGCCCATAAATCAGCAGGACACATTACATGGGGTCAGCAAGCCAAGGACTCGGAAAGCTGCGTATCGATAAGGCTGCCTGATAAGAAAACCTGGTTTCTGCATCAGAAATACAAACCACTGTCTGGATGTACTCAGGGCTGGAGAAGGTGTCCCAGCTGCGGATTAGTCTGGGGGACACAAAAATGAAGCTTTAGCCCACCAGAGCGAGGATTGCCGGGAGAGTGTGGGAATCAGGGCCATGGGAAGGCAGAGGGATCCCAGGGAAACCAGCGAGTACCTAACAGTCAGGTAAATGCTGAGACCAAATATTTCCTCCCTCAAAGTTAATTCAACCTGGCAAAACGTGACATTTAGCAAACCAACACACTGCCACATATTTAGTATATGAATAGCTGAGATATGGTATATTTTCATTGGGATGTTTCTCTGCCAGGAGCATTCCTCTGTTGTAAGGTTTCTGGGCTATGTCTCCAATCTCCATTATGCAGGGTAAACACTCGCTGGATAACACCCCTGGCCAGAGCCCATAAATGCTATGGTTTCCAGTGCTAATTATAAAGAGCAAGTGATAGCTTCTCTCTGCTCCAAGCTACTGTATTTTACTGGGAATCTGAACAAGAATGGCCTGTCTGTATCACCCATTCATGACAGTATTTGTTTTTCAGAGATTATCGCAGTAAAAATTCTCAGGTTCAAGCTGAAAGAAGCTGTTTTGATTTATTTGTGATGCAGTAGAAACAGTGCTAGGCTACTAACAAATGTTCATGGTAAATATATGATGATTAATATCAAGGTTCAGGGCTAACTGGAGTAAATTAAACTTTACAGCCAACTTCATAAACTACCCTTGCAGGTATAGTATGCAGACTAAAAATCAAAACAAAAACAAAACCTTCCTAAAAAAAAAATCCCCCAAAAATCCAAACCTTGGACTGGACCTTGAGACACAATTAAAGATCAAGGAAGACTGAATGATTGGATATTTAAATAGGCATCCTCAATTAAAAAAAAAAAAAAGTGATACAGTTAAATGGCACGTGCTTGGGAGGCTGGAAGTAAAAGGGACAATCCTGATACTTGAAGGCTATCCCAAATGTCAGATATTTAAAATAATATGCATAGTTAAGTCCTTAGTTTTGTTTCTGGTAGGAAATAGATTAGGCTTTAACTTAAAGTCTAAGTACTGAATTATTCCCAAAAACACGATGCAATTTGGTACAACTGCTAAACTAGGTCAACAGTGAGACAGGCACCATAGTGAACCACACCTGCTTTCAGAGAGGCCTCGCACTTCTGCAAATGGGGAAAAAGAGCAAGAAAGGAAAATACAGTACTACAGTGAAAGGAATATTGCACTGGGCAGTAGCGAATGCAGAAACACAGGGTGTATTCCATCAGGCTTAACCCCGGAGAGCATCCTCAGAGGGTGGGGAGCAACAGAGAAAAGCTAAAGATTAGTGGACACAAGGGCAACACTTACTGATTCGGGATCCCTCTGCTGTTCAAGGAAAGCTGAAAACTCCACCAGCCTGAGCTTGGTCGTACCAATCGATCGGCCCTGCCATGCAGGGACTGAGGGAGCTGGAGCTGACGTAGGCTCAAATCCTAAAATAAAGGAACCATTTTTGTGAAGAAGTTGATAATTCCTCAGTTTATATTTTTTGAACTAAATATAATTGGGACTTATGCATGTCCCGATGTATGTTTATATTAATTTTAGCAAATAATTAATTCAGAATGAGTTAAATTGGAAAAACACAGAAAAATACGTAGAAAAAGAGGTCCCAACCCAGCAAGCTAATAATGGTGCAAATAAAAGATCTACCTCTTTGTTTCCTTGGGGCTGTAACTCACTGTTGATTTTTTGTTTAAATTATATACTAGATTTTAGAGATTTATAGAGACTTCACATAGACTCACAGCTGACCCTTCCTCAGAAACTGGCAGCAAGACTCACAGGAGATATTATTGCCTTGGGAGTCAAGAGGGCTGGCCTCCATTTCTGGCTCCTAATGTGCCACATGTTACAAGCAAATCACCTCTCTTTCTGCCTATTTCTTCTGCCACTCTCAATTCCCCTCTCCTATTTAGAGTATAAGGTTTCCAAGGCAGGGACCGTCTCTTACTATGCATTTGCACATTGGGTCTTTGACTTCTTTTGGAGCTTTTAGGCAGCATTATATTACAGATAATAATAAATAATTACTGTAGAGAGCTGAATCATACCCTAAAAAGAAAAAGAAGGTTTTAAATTGATAATAAAGAGGGAATGACATGATCTAGAGAGAGAAGGGATGTTAACCACCATCTCTAATTCACCTCAAGAGAAAGAATAAATGCTATCTCTTGCTCCTCATCGTGGAAAATTAGATGAGAAGGAAACAAAACAGTAGAGGAAGAAGGGAAAGGCAGCAGCTCAAAGGCAAAACTGGTCTTGGGAGAGACACAGGCACAAGGAAGGCAGGGGAGAGGCACCAAAGGTTAGAAAACAAAGATAATCCTGAACTAGATTGAGAACCAGGGAGAGGTCACAGGTAGCGTGTGTCCACATCCCATAATGGGAGGGTGGTACCTGACTCCAACCCTCATATTTAGGCAATGAAGGTGTGAGGCTTGTATTAAATAGAGAATTACAAATGTGACTGGTTAGACATGAACAGGAATTCTAATGAAGCAAAAACTCATGCATGAGTTTTGACTGATTTAGAAATACTAATAATCCTATTCTGAGAGAAAACATGGAAGAATAAAAGAAGACAATTCAAAATGCCTGCCTTAGAAAATAATGTTATAAATTAGGAATATCAAGAAAAAGGAAATAATCAGGGATGCAGAAAGATAACCTTAGTCTTAAATATTAAATAGCAGCAAGTTAGAAAATCATAAAAAACTGGGTAAGAGTGAGAAAACTGCAGTTCAAACGGTGTCAGAAGCATGGTGTCATTTGGCAAGGGAGACATAAAGTTAGTATTCATCCACAAAGAAATAATGATCTTTCCTGAAATTAGCCATGAAACCAACCTGGGAAAAGGAGTAGGGAAATAGCCATGGGAAAGGCTTGATCAATTTGAGCAATGGAACTCAGAATAAACATTAGATACTTATCAAAGTGATACCAGGCAGAGCAGGACCTTCAGGAAGTGAAGAGTTATCAGCAACCAGATACACAGAGATGTTTTCTACTTAAGGCTAAACATATATGGTTTTGGAAGAGTTTTTAGCCTCAGTTTAAAATAAATAAAGGCATATTCTCGTTACAGACAGAAGCGAGATTTAGCTCTTAAAAAAGAAACATGCATCCTATTATTTTTTACAAAGCATTTTCCTACAATATGTAATGCTGACTGGAAATCACATATCACAACTGCTTGCATATGTATTAATGCTTCCTACCTAAATATAAAAAAACCCCAAAACCCTCAAACCCAATGATTTTCCCTCATATAGAATCAGGTGATAGGACATTGGGACTAGTGTTTGGTTTGGCCACAGGGAATGTTAGATATGGAGTAGTGGTTCTGTCCATCTCAGGAATTAATATATCACATTCAGTACACCATTCAAGTCTTTCTAAAGGAGAGTATAAATGGAAGAATTACCTGAAATGGGAGCTGTGACTGATGGCTGTATAGGATAGGCCTGCTGAAAGAATGGCTTTACACTGGGATAAAGAAGTACATT